CCAGAAGTACCCTATCTGGCATGCTTATGCCCCCTGGGCAGCTCCTCTTCCTGGTCACGGCCCTGACAAGCACATGTGCAAAGTGCTCCTTTTTCGGCACTTGGTGCCAAAAAGGTTCGCCATCACTGCTAGAATAGAATAGAATAGAATAGAATAGAATAGAATAGAATAGAATAGAATAGAATAGAATAGAATAGAATAGAATAGAATAGAATTTTTTATTGGCCAAGTGTGATTGGACGCACAAGGAATTTGTCTTGGTGCATATGCTCTCAGTATACATAAAAAGACAAGATACATTCATCAAGAATCATAAGGTACAACACTTAATGATAGTCATAGGGTACAAATAAGCAATCAGGAAACAATATCAATATAAATCATAAGGATACAAGCAACAAAATTACAGTCATACAGTCATAAGTGGAAGGAGATGGGTGGTGGGAATGATGAGAAGATTAATAGTAGTGCAGACGTAGTAAATAGTTTGACAGTGTTGAGGGGATTATTTGTTTAGCAGAGTGATGGCATTCAGGAAAAACCTGTTCTTGTGTCTAGTTGTTCTGCTGTGCAGTGCTCTATAGTATTGTTTTGAGGGTAGGAGTTGAAACAGTTTAGGTCCAGGATGCGAGGGGTCTGTAAATATTTTCACAGCCCTCTTTTTGACTCGTGCAGTATACAGGTCCTTAATGGAAGGCAGGTTATAGACCCGTGATGGCAAACCTATGGCACGCGTGCCATGGGAGGCACGGGGAGCCATATCGGTGGGCACGCAAGCATTGTCCTAGCTCAGCTGCAGCACACATATGCGCACAGGCCAATTAATTTTCGGGCCTTCTGGGCCCACCGGAGGTTGGCCGTTTCCGGCCTCCGGAGGGCTTGCAGGTGGGTGGGGAAGGCCGTTTTTGCTCTCCCCAGGCTCCTAGAAAGCCCCTGGAGCCTGAGGAGGGTGAAAAATGGGCCTATCAGGCCCACCATGCCATCGCATGCTAAAAGCGGGGGAGCACAGGGGGGTCACACGTGCATGCATGGGGGGGTAGGGCACATTTAATTGTGGGTGTGGGCACGCATGCGTGCAACCCCCCCGTGCTCCCCCCGCTTTTGGCACATGACGGCAAAAAGGTTAGCCATCACTGTTATAGACTATAACTAGCACTTTAAAAGTGATCTATAAACTTACTGGTAACAAGTGAAGTGAATGCAAAGCAGCTCCCTTTTAATAGTCTCAACGTTAGTTTGTGGGGGGGGCGGTACATCAGAAGGAAGAGGAATATGTGTCCTTTTCTTTGGCCACTGATCTTCACCGAAGGCATCCCTTGGGTTAACGTGAGCAAGGTTGAGCTGAGTCGATCCTCAGGCAGATCATCAAAGCGTCTTCCTATACGTTGTTAATATATTGATGGCTGCAAAATGAATTCTGCACCCTTGATCTTAGGTTAGGAAAGCGGGCGCAATTATGAGCATCAAAAGGTTTTCAAAATGTCTAGATAGGTCTTTTTTATTATTAGATTGTACCACTTAAAAAAGCAAGCATGCACACCTACATATAACATCATCTTGAATCAATACACCTTCTGTTCTTTCTTTGAAGAAGCTGAAGTTGAGCCAAAGCAGTTACTACAGAAGTCTTTTTTTTCCCCCTATACAGAGTGCAAAGCCTAGTATCTTCTGAAGAATTCTTTGAATTTCTTTGTTTCCTTGGTTCCCCTGGTTCTTTCCTTTCTGCTTTTTAAACATTGGCTTTCAAAGGGATCCAGGAGCGCAAAAAAAAATCTCTTGTTTGTGACAAGCTCCTTAAAGGTGGCCCTTTAATATCTGTGTCTTCCATTTGCTTTTAATACTGTTGAGTTTTTGTTACCGCAACCCCCTGTGTTTCAGCATTTAATTAAAAATCAACCAAAGTAGAAACCTAATTTTTAGCAATAGGAAATCAGTATAAATTTTCAGCATTGCTTTTTCTTGGGCTTTCCATGGAATTACTCACTCTGTTAAAACCTGGTAGAAATATAGACTTTTAGGGCATTTCAAAAGGGAAAAAAATGATTTCGGCCAACTTTAGAATTAGCATCACGATCCTGTGGTACCTTGCTGAGCTGATGTATTTTAACTAATTATTTAACTAATCAAGGAGAGAAGCAAGCTAGAACTAGGGAGATATTTCTTGATAACAAGAACAATTTACCAGTGGAATGGGTTTGCCTTCAGAAGTTATGGATGGTTTTTAAAAAGAGACTGGACAGCCACTTGTCTGGAATGGTATAGGACCATGATGGCAAACCTATGGCACATGTGTCACAGATGGCACACGGAGCCATATCTGTGGGCACACAAGCTCAGCTCCAGCATGCATGCACGCACCAGCCAGCTGATTTTTGGGTCTTCCGGTCCCACCGGAAGTCAGGAAACGGGCCATTTTTGGCCTCCAGAGGGCCTCTGGGGGAGTGGGGAAGGCCATTTTCTCCCTCCCCAGGCTCCGAGAAAGCCTCTAGAGCCTGGGGAGGGCAAAAAACAGGCCTACCAGGCCCACTGGTAACTTTGAATTATGGCTGTGGGCACACACACACACACGACCCCCCTCGCTCCCACCGCTTTTGGCACATGATGGCAAAAAGGTTAGCCATCACTGGTATAGGATCTCCTGCTTGAGCAGGAGGTTGGACTAGAAGACCTCCCAAGTTTCCTTCCAACTCTGTTTTGTTATTCTGTTATTTATTTGGGCATTGGCTGCAGTACAAGCATTCAGAAAAGTTTCAGATTTAGATAGTGGTGTTCCATTGAGTTTTTTCCCCCAAAAAAATGGAATGTCTGACTCTTCTAGGGTTTTTTTTTCATGTTTGCCAACGTGCACTATTTTGTTCTCTGTCAACTGCTGATGTTTTGTGTTTGGCAAGGGGATGGATCACCTGCCACCCCATAGAGACTGCAGTGTTACCAGTTGGACAACAGCAACTCAATTACCCATGATATCACAATTATATAACTACCGTATTTTTCGGAGTATAAGACGCACTGGACTATAAGACATACCTACCTTTTTTGGTGAGGAAAAGAAGAAAAAGAAGAAAATCCCAGCAATATTGCCTCATTGCAGCAAACAGCCTGCTTTACTTTCATTTTCGTTTTCAGCATAGCTTGATTAGCGCAAGGGAGAAAAAAATCTGCAGCAGCAATTTTCTTCCTTGCAGCAAGCAGCAGAGCCCTGAGCAAAACAGCTGAGAGCAAATCAGCTGAGAGTCGGGAGGCCGATCCAATCAACTTGTGCTAATTAGGCTGTGCTGAAGTTGAAAGGAGCTGTTTTTTCTTGCTGTTTGCTACAAGGAGGTAACTGCTGCGAGGCAGAGGCCAAAGAGTGGGGGCCAGTGGGTGGGCGGGGCTACATTTGGAGTATAAAACGTACCTAAATTTTCACCCCGTTTTAGGGGGGGGGGGAATGTGTGTCTTATATTCTGAAAAATATGGTAGTTAACTGGAAGAGTGTAGTCTTCCATGTTGACTGCATGAAAACAGAGCTGGATTAAACTGTTTCTGTGGGTTTGAGAACCAATAGAAGTATGGAGTCATCTCTTCACTGAGCTGGAATCCTATTTTACTGTCTGTCTGCAAGTGAAAGAAGTAACCAGTGGTGGGTTGCTCCCGGTTCTGTCCGGTTCTTGAGAACCGGTAGTAAAAGCGGTGGGAGGCTCCGCCCACCTGCCCTGATGTCATATTTGGTGATCTGCGCATACGCAGAAGCTTCTGCACATGTGCAGAAGCGTGCGCGCTCCCGTTGCAAACCGGTAGTAAAGGTAAGTAGAACCCACCTCTGGAAGTAACTAATTCTCCCAGTCATTAACAGGTAGGGCTGTCTTTTATTATTTTATCAAACTCTTCCTTTCTCTCCTTCAGTTGATAGTTCTCCATGGAGAACATCTTCTGCATTTTTTTTCTAACCAGTTCAAATCTTTGTTTTGCTTTTTTGTTGTTGTTATTGTTATCTCTCTGTTCTAGACTTTAGATATACTTTGGCCCCTTTTGCCTTGGCAACATCAATGTCAGCTTCCTTACTTTCCACAGTTAGAATGTAGTATAGTATACATCAGTGATGGGATTCAAATAAATTAACAACTGGTTCTCTCCTAATGACGGGCTGGGTGGGCATGGCCACGGTGGGTGACAGGCAGCATTCGGCCTCATGCACCCCCCCGGGAGCAAAACAGGCTGTGGGGAGGGCACCTCCCCCCCCGCACCCCATTTTGGGCCTAGTAGGCCTGCCTGCACCACCTGGGAGCAAAACCGGGCTGTGGAGAGCTTGTTTACCACCTTCCCAGGCTCCAGAGGCTCTCTGGAGGCAGGAAATAGGCCCATTTTTGGGCTCCATGAGCCTCTGGGAGGCACATTTTCCATCTCCCCGGGCTCCATGCACCCCCTGCACTTACCTGGGATCCAAAACAGGCCACGTGGGGACTCCTGAGAGGGGCAGAGCAGGGTGGGGCAGGGCCAGCTGGTCGTCGGAACTACAGGTTTGCCCAACTGGATGTAAAATTAACATCTGGTTTGCCTGAACCTGTCCGAACCAGCTGAATCCCACCTCTGGTACATATAATATATGCATACACA